ACACCCTCTACAACTAGATCTAGTAATTTCTTATACGACCCGTTAACACGATACGTGAATGACACAAAAATAATGGGTTTCAGATCGACAAGGTAACTAATCAGGTTGTTAGCGGGTCACACGATAAGAACCCGTTAATAACGAGTCCTTAACAGGTTTACACGAATGTGACATGCGGGTAACCCGTTTTGACATGTTAAGAAAAAAGTTATTTGATGATTTTAAATTTTTATACTAAAAAACTTACTATAAAATACAATAGCTATAGAGTATATGTATATGTATATAGTGTATATTAAATATGTATTATTGTTTTATTATTCTATATAAATTAAAAAAAAATTAAGTTTTATTTATTTATTTATTTTTATAGTATATTATAGGCAAATAGTGAGATTAAAAAATATATAATACACATTAAAGCCTAATGAAAACATCGTTAATATAACTCTTAAAGATAATATATCAAGCCAAAATTCCAATACAATTTCCCTTGGTTATTGTAAAAACCGTGCAAGGTTCCTCAACCTTGAAATGCATCTCCCTTCATTTTGCATATCCTGGAACATTTGGTAGTTTGTAGTAATGTACTAATATTTTTTCATTAAGCTCGTATTTTGGAGTATGTAATACTTAAAAGACAAATGTTTTCTTTATGTTTTGAAGTACTATTTATGCGACAATGTGGTATGCATATACTAATTTAGTATTACGTTTTTCATTTTTTTGGGTCAAATTTATGTTTTTCATTTTCATTATTTATTAATTTAAAATATATTTTCTTTAATGGGTAATGGATTGGGTCATATTATCTGATAATATTAACGAGTCAATTTCGGGTTGGGTCATATCACACTACTTTAACGGGATCGGGTGTGTCACGAAAACAACACAAACACGAAAAACACGACACGAATACCAAATCTATCTGTAACATCTCATAATCTGATTATTCTTATAGGTTTGTCGTCCATAGCTGCCATGTTATAATTATATTTTAAACATTGTGCCGACCATCTCCAAACCTGGGCTAAAAGCCAAATTACCCCCCCCCCCAAACACTCTCCAACCCATGTTAAAATTTTAGGCTAAATGCCAAATGTTATTTCTGGGCCAAATACCCCCAGCTTTCCCCCCGGGCTAAATGCAAAATGTTTATCGGAATTTAAATTTTTTTAGATTAAAATGTTCATAAAATTAATTTACAATAATCTACATATTTATTTTTTTTTTTTTTAAATTGATTTAAGAAAAAAATTAACCTAAGTTCATTCTTTAATAATTCCGGACTAAAATTTTAGGGTAGAAGGGTTGGAGCATAAAAGATGTTTCTGGGTTAAAAGCCAAATTTTCCGGGCTAAAAAATTTGGCTTTTAGCCCAAGGATTGGAGATGGTCTAAGCCTCCAGTGGTTTAGCGCACAGGTTATGTAAGCCCAGTGTTTAATTTGGGGCAAAAGAACTCTTAATCAAACGACTACACTCTTTTTGTTTGTGGAGGAGGATCGCACAAATTTAACAATTTGAAAACGAAGGAACAAGGGAAGGTCGCTATAAGCTTACGTGTATCTCTATGGTTCATTTATGTTTTTTTTTTTTTTTTTTGGCTTATGTCTCAGTCATGGTCTAAAATATCTATAATATCCCGATATTTCCATCGAAATTTTCGTGTTTTTTGACTACCGATATTTCCAATATCATCGATATTTTACCTTGCTAAGTCACTCATGTATCTTCATGCAATGTATAAAGTGTAAAATATTGTACTAATTCATTATATATAAATGATTATGGTGTGTTTAAACTTCTTTCATTAATTACTACATATTTTCTACACTCACAATGTTGCCAGCTCGTTATATAATCAACTTAAATTAGTTATATCTATCATGCAATGCATTTCCTTCCAATTTTTTGTGATAAACTAATAGATAATTGACTAAATAAACATCCTACAAAGTTTCAATAAAAATTTCCAAGTTTTTCTTACAATTTCTGTGGTTTTTATTCAATTTTTATCGATATCGATAATATCCCGATATTTCCGATATCATCGATATTTAATACATTGGACTCTCAGTCAAATTGCTACACACCAACCCTTGTTAACGCCCAACCAACTTACGAACAACCAGACTTTCTTCGTCAATTTCGGAAGATGCAATTATTTGTGTTTTGGCGGTGAGTCAGTTCGGGCATATATTGAGAAAATTAACATAAGTTCAATTTTGTGAGTCACTGTTAAGTATAATGTCTTTTGTTTCATTTTTGAGTTAGGTAGTAACTTGTTATCCACGCTAATTTAATTGAATTATCTTGCCAAGTTTACTCCAAAATTGACTTATTATATTATCCTTAGGGTTTAGCCCACTTCTATAATATTCTTCTTCTCCTCCTACATTTATAGGTGGAATTTTTCGATTAAATGTGATATTGGGAGATGGATGATCAATATAATGATGTCCAACCTAATTTATAATTTATATTGTACATTTGATTTTTTTTTAAAAGATTGCATTAGTCAATTTTGTGTTTTGGTTTCTTTGTCTCCTTATCCTTTTCTTGTTCATCTTTCTCCTTTTTATTTTTTAGATTAAATACTTGAAACCCTCCAACCCTTTAGTGTCATTTTAAATTGGCCTCAATTTTTTTAAACATTTCAAACAAGTACCAAACCTATTGAATATTACTACGGACCTTTAATGAATTCTAAACAACTCTAACTTTAGAGCACTCCCTCAAAAGGTGAATTAAAATTTCAACAAGACCGCCACATATAGGACAACTAGTATCCAACGTCATTTTTCTCTTGAATCTTTGTTGGTTGGTTAGAATTTTTATTTCGAGTGACCAACCAAGCAAAGAACTTTAACTTTGATGGTATGTGCAACTTCTAATAAGAACATAGAGATTCAGAGTGAATCTCAATCCCAAATTGAGCAATATTGTCAATGCTCAATAAATTGTGGTTTAAGGTAGCCGCCAGTGACACGTCAGAAAGGGCCTTTTTCTATTGGTGGCTAATCAGTTGAGATTAGATTGTGCCTTCGTAGGGAAAGGGGGTGGGTGACGAGGGATTGAAAGGGTGGTATGGAACTATGGATGGAGGAAGAGAAGTGAAGGGAAGGGCGGGCTGGAGCCAGGAGGTCATGAAAGTTGTTATTAAGTGTTTTTAGCATTTATGGGGAGCTCCTAATATAACTTTGTATTATTTTTCGTTAAAATTTAAGTTTATAATAGAGAACGTCATTAGAGATGTTCAAAGCCATTCCAAACTAAACATTTACAAAAATAATATTTAGATAAAAATAAAGAGAATAAACAACTTTCTAAAGAATCAAACCTAAAACCTCTCACTCATAAATGAAGAGGAATACCGTTAGATTGTAGTACTAAGTGACAGAGAATAAACAATTTTAAGTATAATATTCATATTGTAAAAGTACATTTATTACCAATGAATAGATAAATAGGTTTAAGTATTTTCCATTTATTTATAAGAAATTTAATGAAAATCGCTTCAAAACTTTGCATTTTAACCAAAAATTATCTAATAACTTTATTTAATGATAAAGACAAAAAAAACATAAAATATAAACATGTGTACTCAGTGTGCGTCCCTCCAACCCCCCTCCCTCCCTCGCCCCCAACAAATATAATTAAATAGGAAAAAGTACATGAAAATACACATACATATTATATTATGTATGAATTAGTTAACTGTAACAACGATGACACCTATTTTTAGGCATTTGACAAAGCAAGATAACACAAACACATGTCCGATACTATATTTTCCATGTATATAATAAATAATTTATATAAAAGTGATATATGTAGATTTCACTCGTACCTACTAAATGCAAAATAAATAATATACATATATATATATATATATATATATATATATATATACACAGTGCATTATAAACAGTGTAGTACCATTAAGTTTCATAAACTATGTAGTATCATTAAGTTTTATAAACAGTATAGTAAGTTTCATAAACAGTATATGTGAGAACGCACGTGTCCCGCATGTCATTTTTTTAATATTAAAATGATGTATTTTTCATTAAAATTTAAGTTCTTTTGTCATTTTTATTAAAATTTAAGAGTTTTTCATTAAAATTTAAGTCTTTTTCATTAGATATAGTTATAACATGATTTTTTTGTTAAAATAAACTCAACCCAAGCCCTTTTCATGAAAGTTCTCTTTATTTATTGGTATATTATCTAGTTTTGGTTTGTGCTTTTACTTTTGTACACACAAATCATTCAGCATTAATCTTCTGGGTCAGCTGGTTTTTTTATGGCATTGTGACATTGGAAAAAAGGTTTTGGGTTTTATGTTTGTTTAATTAAAGGGTTTTCAACATTTTCTTATTGAACAGTACCTCCCCTAGTAGCTCAAGAAAGGGTTTCATTCTTTGAAAAACATTAAAACCTCAAATGATACTTAATTTACTCGACATTTTTAATTTACCAAGAAAAACATCTGAATTTTTTTATACCAGCGACATTTTTATTAAATTTATTTAAATTAGGTGGTAGGTGAGTTGAACTTGAGTGCATATAGAAAAAACTCACGGAGTAGGATTTTCTCCCTTCCTAATCTATCTCCTCTTTCATCCTCTCCTATTTAAACGGTTGCGATTATTCAACGTCTATATCTTGTTTTCAATTTTTTTATATAGAAAATAAGACAAAAAGAAGAGTGTGAGAGGAGAGGATGGTAATAGGAGGGGAGAAAATCATACTCCAAAACTCTAACCAACTTGATTAAGAGTTCTTTTTTTTTATTGATAGAATGATATTGGGGAATAGGGGAAGGGGAGGGACAAACAGTGACCAACAATAATTTAGTGCCGAATTCATTATTCATGAAAATCGAACACAAAATCTCATATTTACAAATCCAAAGAAATATCAATAAATTTCATGCAATAGTGCCAAAATTCCCATTATGCCTTTGAAACCATTCTAAATTTTAGTATAAATACTATCCAACCACGACTTAGTTCCCTCCACCACTCTCAATCCAAGAAAGCATCTGAACTTTACTCAGACCAAAATACTTCTCTCTCACAATATAATTCTGAGTTTCACAAATGGAGTCGAAGACCATTCAAGGATATCTTCAAAAAAAGACCATTTTGGTTACTGGAGCCACAGGCTTCCTTGCAATGGGTACACTGTCCTCTCTCTCTCTCTCTCTCTCTCTCTCTCTCTCTCTCTCTCTCTCTCTCTCTCTCTCTCTCTCTCTGTAACTGTATTTGAAATCGGCATGCAGTATTTTTGGAAAAAATACTAAGGGTTCAACCAGATGTGAAAAAGGTCTATCTCTTTTAAGAGCTCCGGATATCAACTCAGCCAGGGATCGCATGCATAATGAGGTTTACCTAAATATACAAATTTACAACTTCCATATAGATTATATAACTCATATAATAGATTTCTTTTCAATTCTGACGTGCACCTTATTTTAATGTTTTGATATATTAAGATCATAGGAAAGGAGTTGTTCAAGGTTCTAAGGGAGAAAATGGGTGCATATTTTGATTCCTTTATATCGGAAAAAGTTGTGGCTATCCCAGGAGATGTAAGTTCGGAAAACCTGGGAGTGAAAGACTCAAATTTAGGGAAGAAATGTTGAATGAAATACAAATTATACTCAACTCTGCAGCAACGACCAAATTTGATGAAAGGTAAGAGTATTCACCATACAATTGAGGTAATGCATGCGTTCTCATTTCGCTAACAAAGTTTCAGTTATATGGATCATACTATTTAAAGTTCCACTTTAGTCATAGTTTACAAGCGACTTGTACTACGATCTAGTGATATTTTTCTTCACTTGTAAGTATGAGTTCTAAGAGTCTACTCTCATGAATGGCGAATTCGATATCAAATTATTGATATAATTCATTGTGTGGGTTAGCTCAATCCTTGTGTGTGTGTGTGTGTGTGTGTGTGTGTGTAAATTAGTAGCGAAATTTATGTCTACCAAATTGTATTATATTGAGTTAATGTACGATGAATATATCAAAAATATATTAAAATGAATTAATATACCTAAATGAAGAACACAAAATGTATCGGAATATATTATATAAAAAAAAAGGCTTGTGTGTGTGTGTGTGTGTAAATTAGTAGCGAAATTTATGTCTACCAAATTGTATTATATTGAGTTAATGTACGATGAATATATCAAAAATATATTAAAATGAATTAATATACCTAAATGAAGAACACAAAATGTATCGGAATATATTATATAAAAAAAGGCTAAATTGTAGTAAAGGTGAGTGAGTTAACGAAAGGACCACAAGTGCAAGACAGGGCATAATTCGAGAACAAGCGCAACTATTAGTAGAGTTCGGAGACCAAAACTAAACTTATGGTATAGTTTAAGGACCTTTGTTATAATTTAGCCTATAAATGTCTACAAGAAATTATATTATGATGAATGAAATAAAAATTAAGATTAAATGTAATTAATACATAAAAATTAGGAAGAAAAAGGAGAAATAAAACATCAAAATATAATAAATATAGGGGTGTGCTATCCACACACCCATTTTTACTTCTCACACACTCCTCTTAATTTTCGACATTCAGATCGAATGAATTGACGAAGATCAAAGCACAAAAATTAACGAGGGATGCGAGAAGTAAAAAATGGGTGTGTTAAATATATGAGATGATTAAATGTAGTGTGATATGGACATTGAGTCAACGGACTACAATTAGTTTTTAATCTTACACAAGGTTTTAGTGTAAAAGCAATTTTTTTCAAGGACTAAAATAAAGTTTTTTAAATAAAATCTTTTGGAATATATACGACATTATCTATAATATAAAGGGAGTGAGCTAAGCCTTACAATGGTAACCATTGTAGTTAACTGTACATTGCAATTCATGGACAAATCTCACTTTCTGTTTAATTTCTTGACGAAGCACTCCTCGATCGCATGGAGGTCATCTCATCGGTCCTTATTATAAAAGAAAAACTAATGAAAAGAGCTTGAAAATTTTGAGTTTTAATCAAAAAGACAAAAAGGTGTTGTCAGTGAATAGTACCAGAATTGACTTTTTAGAGTAAAAATATCATTTTCGTTAAAAGTAAACAGTACTAGAAGTGTTTCGTTAAAACTTCCTATTATACAAGCACTTCCACCCCTATCAAATTGCCCAAGCAATTGAGCTTGGCAATTACTGCCCTTAGTGAACAGTAATTACCCAAGTGCATCTTCATCCCTAAAAAAAATTGTCCAGGCTGTTGGTATTAAAATATTTTTATTAAAATAGTAGAAGACAATTTTATTATTAATTTCGGATACGATTTTTAACTAATCTCGTCACTCCACATGTATTACCCGAAAGCATGGTACGCATTTACACAAAAAAAAACTAATTTATATGGACTGTTAGATTACAAAAAAAATTGTAATCCAACAAACCAGATTTTGACACGTAAGCCATCGATAACAATTGGACTTTGTCTAATTTTTCCTTCTTTATATTTTCTTTCCAAAAAATCTGGAACGTTAAAGAGAAATCCAACGGACTAGAAAGTGCCACGTCGCCCCTGGTGAGTGCACCTGCCTGGCTGGCCCCAGCCCTGTTTTCTTGTCGGGCCACTCGCTATTGTCCTGCATGTAATGCACGCACTGGCAAAAAAGAAAATTATAAAAAAAATGACGTTAGCTTGACGTCAGATCCACTAGTCTATGGGCTGGCAATTTAAGCCTGGGTTGTTTGTCGGGCTCGGCTGGAATGATTTTGGGAAGGGAAGGGAGGGATTGGATTGCCCAATAGCCGATATATTCATGGTATGGAAGTGCTCTAGGGTGAGTCAGCGTCTCCTTCTCTTCTCCCAGTATGTAATATCTGCAGGGTCATGTGATTGCTAAGTCAAGAAAATAAATACAAAGTTGGTCTTTGTCCTTCAAAATAGATACGCAGTAGACTGATATTTGTGTGCAGGTATGATATTGCGCTGGACGTGAATACATTCGGAGTTCTTCATGTTTTGAGTTTTGCGAAGAAATGTTTAAAACTGGAGATGCTTCTCCATGTATCAACCGGTCAGTTCTCTGTGTTTGTTTGTCCTTAATTTGGTACAACCTTTATTTATTTATCCCTTTTTTTTTACATAATAAAACTTTTTTGAAGTCTTACTCCTTGAATGGATACGTAGTTTTTGCTTAATTTATGGTGATTAATTGGTGAACTTTTTTCCAGCTTATGTGTGTGGTGAAAGGGCAGGACTCATAGCAGAGGACTTATCATCTTCATTAATTGACGACATAATAAATAATAATTTCGAATTACATGAAAAGAAGTTGGTGGAGGAGAAATTGAATGAAAGAAAAGCACAAGGTGCTTCTGAAGAAATTATTACCCGTACCATGAAGGATTTGGGCATTGAAAGGTTTTAATTAGAGCATCATTATCTAATCTAATTGTGCCCTATATTACTCTTCACATATGAATTTTATACTGTGGCTTACTAAATCAAAAGGGAAAAAAAAAGTAAAAGTGTTGGTAGAATTGTTTTTTGAACTCTTAACAATTCAACATATATTGTGCCATTCAAATTAAGTTCTGGACTTCTGTTAATTTATTTGTATTTATTTGATACAATTATTAGGGCTAAACTTTATGGATGGCCAAACACCTATGTATTTACAAAGGCGATAGGAGAAATATTTCTGCATCACTCAAAAGATAATCTACCTCTAGTTATCATCCGCCCATCCGTTGTTACTAGCACTTATAAGGAGCCATTTCCAGGTTGGACTCAAGGTTTGAGGTAATGAGCATTGCCTTGCATGTACCCTAAAATCTTTATTTCAAACATATATTTATCTAGTACAATTAGTATGGTCCTCTTTAGAACTAAATGTGAGAATGTAAAAACTGTATGATGGTTTTCATTTAGAAAATATGATCCTCCTTTGACAAGGTGACAGCTAAACTCATATATCTGTTATATTTTGTGTGACTACAGAACCATTGATAGCATAATTGCTGGTTATGGTAAAGGAAAGTTGAAATGCTTACTTGTTGATCCTACGTCGGTATTTGATATGGTGAGTTCAAAGTAAATCAATCACCAAACCCCTCCCCAACGCACAAATACATTATACATATTATGTAGATCATGCATGTGCGTAAAATGTGTCTACGGGGTAAGCTTCTTAGCGGGGTGCCATGCACATAAACTTTGTTGGGGTCATTTTCGTAATTAAATCTTCTATATTAAAAGAAAATTACGAGTGTCGATATGCACATCCACCTGGCATATTTTTCCTACCACCTTATATTAGTTTGTCATCTACAATTTAGTTATAAAATAAATGAGAACATATGACAGGTGCATGTTTAGATATAATAGGACTCAAAATTTTAAAAATGGAGGAATTCGAGAACAAACAAAACATGATGGAGACTTTTTGCAAAAACAAGCATACCATAAAAGAAAATTTGCAAATAAACTAACGAACAAACGAAATATCTAAACTATATATTAATGAAATTTTTTTTGTTAATCAAAAGAGGGTAAAAAGACATTTTTGTTTCCTATTACAACAAAAAAGTTAAGGACAGTAATGTAATTTTACAAAACAAAATTTTTCTTTTTTTGTTTAAGCCTCACCTACAAGTGATTTTATCATCTTTTTTTTTAAATGTAAAAAAACAAACAAACAAACAAGCAAACCTCTATCCCTCTCCTCACTCCCACGTTCTCTCTCACTCATTTGTATGTGCGCATATACTAGTAACTATGAACATTATTTTACACTCAACGAGGTTGCCGAGACGGCTACAACCGAATGACTATATCTTGACTGTTTATCATACTACAAACTATATTATAGGGAATAAAACTAAGCCCACCCCCCCTATCATCTGTTCAAAAAAAAAAAAAAAAAAAACCCCTTAAGAAACCCGAACTCGGATAGGCTGGACTCAAATTCTAAACTAGTAAGAAAAATCCAAATAATTAAATAAATACTAATATTTTCTAACACCCCCTCGTCAAACATATGACGGTACACGACATGATGTGGATGCAAGTTTCATTATGCTAACTAAAGATACAAATTCCCATACAAAACTCCATCGGTGCAAGTCAAAGATTCATGTGCCAGTGCCAGTAACAATTCTCTAATCACTCGAATGCTCACCAGTACAAGCACTTGAGTGACATTCACAGAAAACTTCATATAGGCTAGAAACACGTGTGGACCTAAAAATTACTAAACCAATTTTTACTTGCCTGTGTGGGCCAAAACCAAACAGCAAAGATTTTTTGTCCTCTTTCATTTTGTTTCCTTATTTTGTTTTCTTCCTTCCTTCTCTCTGCCTTTCTTCAATTCGTGCAAAACCAATTGCAGCAAACAAGTCGCTCAAACCTAAGGGATTGCGGCAAACAAAACAACGTAGTGCAAAGTCAAACTGCAGAAAGGGACTTCATACGGTTTGTGACATATCCAACTCATGCGGGTAGGGTAAGTAGGGGTTTCGGGTTGAGTAGGTGCGGAGGTTTATAGGCTTATGTGCACGACAACGAAGGACAACGGGTTGCGGAAACGCGTCAAGCTGCAGGTGCAATGGTGTGGGTTGAGTGCAAGTGGTTCGAGTAGAGATTCATCGATGGGAAACAGTGGTCGGGTTCTGGATTTCTGATTACAGCAGCAATGCGGGTGGATGTAGCAGCAGAGATGGTGGTACGGGTTAAACTGTAGGTTATCCAAGGCGGAGACGAACGCGACCTGAGTTTGTGGTTCTCGGGTCTGGGCTTCGTCAATGAAGAAAGTTGGAGTTTCAACATAAAACCAATTGGCAATATGAAGTAGCCCAACCTCTTATAAGCCCGTGCAAGGTCCCTCTTCACATCAATGTGTGACTCATTCTCTACACACTCTCTCATGTGTGGCTAATTTTCAAGCCTAAGACATGAAAAACACAATGGGGTGAAGTCGAGCGTGTGCGGCTGCGGCCGTTTGGCTTCACACGTAGAACAACCTACTCTGATACCATGAAGAAAGTTGAGGTTCCACTATAAAATTAGTTGGCAATATAAGGAGTAACCAACCTCTTATAATCCCATGCAAGGTCCCCCTCCCCATTAATGTAAGACTCATTCTTACACATGGAACAACCTATACAGGTCATTGTTGTAGGTCCATAAGACTTGGGTCAACGGGATGCATACGGTGATGTTCCGATAATCGAGCACACTGGTGATGCGGGCTTCTAGACTGAACGACGGGGATTCCAAGCTTCAACTTTTTCTTTTTTTCTTTCTAAAAATGAACGACAACAAGGAGTAACCCAAACGAGAAAGCAAAAAAAGTTTCAAGGTACAAAACTGAACAAAACAAACTATCAATGACAGATAAACTAATATGAACAAACAGAAGCAAATTAAATTTGGAAGGATCAAACCTACTCTGATACCAAGTTGAAAATAAACCGACGAACGAACGAAATATAACTATGAACATTATTTTATTAAACAAGATTGCCGATATGTCTACAACCAAATGACTACATCTTGACTGTCTTGTTTATCATACTAAACTACGAACTACATTTGTAGAGAACAAAACTTAAGAAACCCTAAGGTCATATCCAACCAAAAGGGACTATAGCTCTGGCCAAAATTATAGCCCTGCAAAAATTATTTTTAAATGAATAGTGTCAGACTCATATACCATCTCCAACCGAATGAGCTAAACATACCCTTGTCAATAATTTATTATTTTTAAGTTTATATTTTAAATTTATTGGTTAATTCAATTAAACTAACTTTGGATGTTTTCAAATCTAACCGTTGAATTTGAATCAATTATTGCAACTGAGGAGCTAGGCCCCAAAAGGGGCTAAGAGGTAGCTAAGATTGCCTAATGCCCCTTTGACCAAATAATGGCTTGGTGGGCTGCATAGAATTATAGCCCAGACATCGATTAAAGATAAGTTTTTTGGCAAATCGGCATTTTTTGGCTTTTGAAGTTTTAGCCCTCTCTATTGGAGCTGGTCTCATAGATAGGTTGGGCTCAAATCCTAAGCTAACAAGAAAAACCTAAATAATTAAATAAACATAAAAAATACTAATATTTTACAACAAGAAATGAGTATTTATAAATACCAACTCTGACTACCAACATTTCCGAAGATCGACTTCGATCTGTAGCATTTTACAAAACCCTGATCAAGCTTGTAGTCCTTGCGCAACAACATAGATTTCACTCCTAGGGTTCATCCGTCAAGAGCTGGTGACTAAGGGATTTTACTTCATCTTCGCTTGCTCTCTTAAGGTTTCGACTTGTGGAAATGTTGGGTTTTTTCTTTTTTTTTTCTTTTTAATTTTTAATTTTCTTTTAGTGTAGATATTATCGTTTGTTCAGAAAAAATGGTTAATCTCAGTTTACTACCCTAAAGTTTCTTAGTTTTCAACATTTGGTACATCAAGTTTTTTTGTCCCAGTCTTTACCTAAGGCCATCTCCAACCGATTCGGCCAGAAGGCCATAGGGCTAAAAATGTCCCGAAATGACACGAAAACCGTCTCTAACCGAAGGCTAGGCCAAATGGCTCATGGGCCCAACCAGGCCAAAATTGTGCAATCAAGCCAACTGGCTGGCTCGAACCAACCAGCCAGCCAGCCCTGGGCCAACCCAATGGTTTAAATCCAATGGCTACCTGGCATCAACATGACGCCAGCTAGCAACAGCTAGCTGAAGTCATGCTGATGCTAGGTTACTGTTGGATTTGAATTTCTTTTTTTTTTTTTTTTTGGGACCAAATTTAAAAAAATAAAAATAAAAATTCTAATTTTTTTCCTATAATTACCTAAGCCATTAAACAACATTAAACAACACCAAACAATATTAAACAATATTAAATAACATTAAACTTAAACAACATTAAAGAACACAATCTCCACCCTAGTACTACTTGGGGAAGTTATTCAAACTTAAACAACATTAAAAAAAAACATTTAACAACAAAAAACTTAAACATCTACTCCATGCTTCTTTTAGCCCAAAGATATGCAACAAGATCCTGTTGTAGGTACTTGTTTATGGCATGCGAACGTATGATCCTATGGTGCCTCATGTACTCATTTAAAGAGATATTATCAGTTCTTGGATCCAAAGGCAAATTAGGTCCATCATATATTTTTGCACTAGCCCTCCTTGACCTATTTGGATCATCTTGGTCGTCATCAGACTCTCCATCAATATAGCCATCTCGCTTATCCTCCACAATCATGTTGTGTAATATGCTACACGACATCATGATGAAGTTCAATTTATCTAAACTCCACCCTCTTGTCGGTTCCTTAATGATCTTCCACCGTGCTTGTAGAATATTGAAAGCTCTCTCAACATCTTTCTAGTATGCCTCTTGATGTAATCCACAGAGTTTGCAATTGCTTGGACAAGTGACGCCCACTTTGGGTAGATGTCATATGCCAAGTAATACCCCATATTGTACTGACGCCCGTTGATGTAATAGTCAAGTTGAGGTGATTTACCCTCCGTCAGGTTATTGAAGATGGATGAATGCCCAAGTACTGTAATGTTATTTTGGGATTCTGGGACTTCAAAGAAAGCATGCAGATCCATATGTCAAACGAGGCAATCGCCTCTAGCATAATAGTTGGCCTTCTTGATCTTTTGCTAAAGCCTCATTTCCATCCGGTGGGATAGTTCTTCCACTGCCAATGCATGCAATCTAATTACCCTATCATGCTCAGAAAGCCACGGCCTTCAGCTTTATGAATGAGCCGATCCAAATCGACTTCATTTAGTTCACGGAGGTACTCTTCTTTGTAAATTTAAACAACTATGTGATAGAATTCAACAAGATTATCAAGGCATGTAGACTCGAACATACCATATGTATCATCCATTGCATCATCTAGGGAGGCATAGGCCAGTATGCGAAGTACAATAGTAACCTTTTGATGAGGTGAGAAACCAGGGTGACCTGCTCTATCCAGCTTCTGTCAAAAGTATGGATTGACATGTTAGACATCATAAAGTAAACGGTCGAACACATGACGCCACATCTGGAAGA